ACGAGTCACAGTTTTAACTTATCCCAATCCCCTCCCCACAACTTTTTCCATAGATCTTACATGGACCAGGCAGTGTAATTAAAAATCTTCACATTAAAAGAACTGATGTCATTTTTATTGTGATTGGGAACTAATCTCATTCAGCACACCTTTCATGAATAAATACTGTTGCATTATGAGCTCTTTCTAACGTGGCTGATCAACCTCAGCCACCCTGTCAAAGTCTCTAGCATTTTCACATTTTACGTAAGTATAGGTAAGACCAAGGAAAAATGTTTCCAGTTTTAAAGGACTGTATTTGCCAAGTCATAAATTGCTGAGTTTCAGTTAGAATCAGTACAACTGATAACTCAAAATCTTTTTATTTCCTTTGCCAGAGGGTATCTGTGCTTGCCAGAGACAGAAAGAGGGAGAAAGCACCCCTAATGGGGCACGGTCATGTCTCGATCCCTTCTCCATCTTTCCAACCTGTCAGGATTTGGGGCATGTGCATACACCTAGTGTGCTTCTCAAGCCACCTGGGCTGAGATTCGAACTATGGTCAGTTCTCCTAACTACTACAACACAGGGCCGGCTTCAACATTCCTAGAAAACTCCTGTAAATTGCTGTCTCTAAGGGAGAAAGCACAGGGTTAGCAGAGCTTCCCTTAATAATTTCCTTAGTTTGTAATACTTCTCAAAATTCAGTGTAACTTACTGATTCCGTTTATGCTTTGGGATTTAAAGACTAAAGCTGTTTATTTATGAATTTTAACCACAGAGGAATCATCCAAAAGATGATTTAGTGTCTACATTTGTGCAATATTCAGCATGTCTGTGAATTGCTCCCTAAGTCATTTAAATCACACAGACCTGTTTTTGCATAGGTAATGGAAGTATTGCTCGGTTGAGAGTCTTTTTCTCAGGAAGGAAGAGAACAGAAATGACTAGAGAACAGAGATGAGACGAGACTTTTTTTTTTCGTATGGAGGAAACTTCAACAGAAGAAGTATGAAACTTCCTCCAGGAGGATAAAAGAGAATTTAATGGGGGAATCAGATAGCCAGTGTCAGTGCAAGGAGTGATGAAGAACTCAGAAAAACACACAGAGAATATTCACATGTATTTGAAAATGCCCCTACTGAATGAAGCAATATCCCAATGAAGAGTCTGAAGTCTTGAGGTATCAAAACTGTCAGGGTAGCATGCCAGGAAGTGGCAGAGCCACTTCTAGGCATCTGTGCTTTGAAGTGACACAGAGAATTCCAATGTTAGATCCACCATTTAGTGATGTAACTGTGGGCAAAGTAAATAGTATCTGTGTGCCTCAGTTTCTTCATCTGTAAAACGTGGATATCAACTACATATGTCCCTGTGAGACTGCAGTAAAAAGAACATAAAACATTTACTAGGTGAATGCTTAATTAATAGATGGTTTTCTTAAAAAAGCTAACTATAAAATAAATGATAAGACAGAGTATACTGTATATCCTGCAATGACTTATTGTACAACAGTTTGATGCCTTCTCTCAAGCTCACCTCATTGCACACCTTTTTTAAAAATAATTACTTTATTTAAATTTATTGATTTATTTTAATTTGATCAGAGAGGGACAGAGTGTGTGTATGGGGGGGGGGCTAGTGTGGGGAAGCAAGCCTCCCAGTCCAGGACTCGAATTGCAGTCAGCCATGTGGGAGTCCAGTGCCCTTAACCACCATGTCACCTGCTGGCCCCATTGCATACATTTTTAACTAGAATAATGGTTCACTCTACTGGCAACTGTCTGGAAATATCATTAAAAAAATCAATTGTAGAAAATGAAAAGCTCAACTAATTAGTGGATACATGTGGGGCCCAGGCAAAAAATAAAAATGAAATCAATCTGGGGTCCAGGATTTGTGTTACTGGGTTCTGAACAAAGATCAAATGTAATTGAGATTGAATGGGAAGAAAAAGTATTCTGTAAGACCTCTATAAATTGTTATTTTAAGAATAAGAACAATCAGATAATTCATTTTTATTTTAAAAATTTTTCAAGAGGGCATGTGTGCTCTCCAAAGAGAGAGACAAAGAGAACGAGAGAAAAAGAAAGGAGGAAAGTGAGAAAGCACTCCCCCATGGAGCATGGTACGCTATCATCCCATCTCCTCCATTTCTCCTTTTGGGATTTTGGGTACATACATGCACACACACACACACACACACACACACTCACATGCCTGGCCTGTTTTTTAAGCTGCTGGGTCTAGTACTCAACCATGCTGTTGGTGGGATCCAGCTGCTTTAACCACCACACTATGGGCTGGCCCAATATCAGATCATTTTTAAGGTAAATAATTTAAAGGACCCCATGGAAGTTTCCATTAAAGAAATGTCGTTATGAAAGCTTTAATGGAGCAAAAATAACTAAATAATTTATTAAAATTTGTATCTTGTTTGAATTTAATTTTCCTATGCAAGACACAGTTTTGTTGCAATAACCAGGAGAAACCATGACAATAGAATGAATTAAAAGTACTTCATAAATTTAAAAAATTATAAATACTAGTATTAAACAAGAGCCATAAGGTTTTATTTTAAAGATAAAAAAAGGTATAATGATCAAGCTGAAAGCCCTTTAAGGAAAGGTCATTTAGAGTAACTTCCAGATAAGGGAAATAAGTACATCTGTCTAGTTTATTAGAGATGAACACTATGCCATCTCTGAAAATCTAAGAAAGCAGAGATTAGCCTCACTGCTGGTTTTACTAGGTGAGCCTTTATCACCACACCACCCTCCACATTTACAGTAACTCCCTGTTACAGTTTGTCCCAGCTCTCAAGAGGGCACCTCCTCGCTAAGTGAGGTACAACTGAATACTGTGGATTTCTCAGTAAGTGGGGAATTTGAGGAAATTTTATTTTCACATACCTACATTATCAGTGAGAATGAATTAGGAGAAACTCACGTTTCAAAGGGAGAAAAACACAGTTAAAGAAATGTCTTCAGGGCCAGCAAATGGTGTGGTGGTTAAGGCACTGGATCCCATATGGCTGGCTATGGGGCATTTCAAGTCCTGGACCTGGTGGCTTGAAAAATCCCAAGAGGACAAAGTCTGGAGGGCAGGGGGCTGCGGTGTGGCCATCCTACCCCCCACCCCGCCCCCGCTACTCCCAGAGGGCGATTCCTCACTTTCTCTCTCTCTCTTTCTCTCTCCAGTGAGCGTACGTGCCCTATAACAACAACAGCAACACATCTAAAATAAAAATCATCTTTGCTTAGTGCATATTAACTTGGTAATTAAATAGGTGGCTGGGACATAATGGCAGAAAACAAAAGCAACTTGTGGGCTAAGGCACCTGCTCAAAGATGTGGCAAGGCGAGCACAAGCAACAGCATTTTCAAAGGTTCTGGGAAACCTGAACGTTCCAAAGCCCACAGAGAAGAGCTGTGCATGCTCAAGTTTGTGCAGATCTGGGAGATTCAAGGAAACTATGGGGTCGTCAGGAGGAATGCATCTTTGCACAGAAAAACACGTCATGACTTTTCGAATGACCTAATACTGATTTCATGCTGAAGAAGACGGATGACTCCTGTCTGCCTCCTCTCCCCTCAAAGGACAGGTGTTGTTTCCTCCACCAACGATAAAGAGCTGGGGTCAGCGGGGAAGAACGTGCAGTAGCACAAAACCCATCCTGTCTGTGCGGGACTCATTCAGTGGCCACCACAAAATGACCTCACAGGAATTCAGTCAGACACTTTCCTATCACCCTTCTTGTTTGTGTGTGTCAGGCTGCATGAGAAAAGTTGGTCAGGATGGATAAAACATGGGCAATCCTGGCAATATATAATGCTTTAACATATACAGACACATAAAGGGCCAATTAAGTCCCCAACCACAGCCACAGCTTGTGACAATCTGCAAACAAGAAGTTTGTTTTGTCTGGGCATCCAGAGAATGACTGCATCTCTGAGCTTCACAGCTATGGCCTTTTAAGAACTTAAAAAGCTGCCATTCATTCATTCATTCATTCATTCATTCATTCTGGAAATAGTTAAAGAGTACCTACTATGTGTCGGGCATATTCTAGCACTGTAGACATAGCCATTTACCCTAGTGAAGCTTCTGTTCTAAAGGGGATAGATAGCAAACGGACTAGTAAAATAAATATTAGTTGGTAGAAAGTGTTTTGTAGAACGAGACAGATAAGAGTGACAGGAGAGCTTGAGGCGCAGAGGGAGGCTCTGTTTATAAAATGTCAAGAGGACAGAGATGTAAGTTATCTGAATATGTATTTAGAAGCACACACTGAAACCCAGAAGTAAAAAGTTCAAATCTGGCAAAAGGGAAGGAATGCCAAATAAAAATGGTGAATGAGATCGTTGGATCCCACATCCTATTACAACTAACCCACCGCTGAACTTCTAAAAGTTCATGGCATTCTCCAGAAATCATTAGTGTGCCTCTCCGATCCCTACCCTAGCCCTGAGCATTCTTTTCATCTGAGGACAAATGAAATAGACACGAGGCAAATAAGGTATCCGTGGACTTTGACTCAAACATCCTAATAAGCAAAACTGCCAACATTAAGAGAAATGACTTCCAGAGAACTTCCATTTTTTTCTTTGAGGGAAAATCCACCTTTTAATAAACATCAGCATATGTGATGATTTAGAAATGGCAGCACAAATTGTCTATCCAAATGGAATTCAGTCCAAATATATTATAAATATTTTTGTATATTTCCTCTTTTTTTTTCCCTACTGATACTTCTCTTTCTGAATGTAACTATGTACACCATTAACTCATAGCTATTTGCTCCTTTTAACTGTATTTTATTACTTTGAGGATTTTATTACTTTGCCAATATGTAAAGGAGCAAAAAAAATTCATTAAATGACCCTTAGTTAAGGATCTTTTAGACTGGACAAGTTTTAAAAAGCTATAAAAATAAGATTTTTGTCATGGTTATTATATAAGGTTGAGAACAAAAGAAGAAAAAATGATCTCACTGGGACTAAGAGTAGTGTCTTACTTACCCGGAATAGGGATAATGGGGATACTCTCATTGGGGACCACCCGTGGTGAACTGCTATCTTCTACATAAAAATGTGCAGTCTGAAAACATTTTCTGTGTAGAAAAAATCAAAAACAAAAACATATTAACGGTGAGACCACAGAAACACACTTTGTCTGATGAGTTAATCATTTGAGTTCATCATTTTCCAATTATTCCCCCAGCTTTCCACATCACACAGCACTGAGGGCAAACCCATGGAAAAGGCACAAGATACAAGACATGGCTAATACCCGGCCCTGTGGGAGGAGTGCAAACAGCTGAAGAAGGTCCTTGCTCTATTACAACCTTAGCCCACCTGAGAGCTACAAGGGAAAGGCTCAGTATTTAGCCACTCAGACGTGAAAACTTGCTACATCCAGTGAACTCTCTGCACAAACTGCTGGGATCACCCCACCAGTTTCTAAATTTGCCACGTTATGGAGGAACACGTTGCTATTCTACACTCCCAGCACTAAGTTCAAAACCACACCTTGAACCCGCTCAGATGCAGTCGTCACACAGCCCAAGTCCACAACAGCACCACACTGCTCGTGCTTCTCATAGGCCCCCGAAGCCTCAGCCAGCTCTTTAAAGGGGTCAGAGGGCTTCGAGGGGGCACGTACTCCAAACCTGAGGCCCCTGCCAGACCACCTCTGAGACAAGGCCCTGAAGCCCTCACGTGTCGTCCGCTTGTTTCTTGTCCTGTTTTGTTTTTACCTGTACTTCAGGCAAAGCAGGGAGCACACACCAGTCATCATAGGACAGGCAGCGAACAGAGAAGCCATCAGCAGCTCGCTCAGCCTCTGCCTGCGAGGCCGGCTGGCCCTGGGCTTCCCAGCATCCACGTCACTGCTCATTCGGCCCTAATGAGCTGCCGGAAGCACAGGCTGAATATTTAATGAGGCTGCTCAGCGTGAATGGCTATTGTGACCAGAGAAGGGTCCCTGTTCATCTGGCGAGGGGCTTTACAATAGCTGGCCCTACTGCTGGGTCTTTTAGCCAAGCAGGCGGCATCCTTCTGGTGCCCGGTGTCACTGGGATCCGGCTCATTCCTCTGGCGTCTCATACCCAGCTACATTCACACCCACCACAGCTTTGCTTTTTCTGGGGACCGTATTCCAACTATTAGAGTAAGTCACCTCTTTTTTTAAGAGTCTTTGTTCATTTAGTCTAAAGTATCTTGGATGATTCTATTGGACATCTCATGTTTTCTTGAAGCCTAAAGGGGGTTGGCCGGTGGTGGGGGCTAGGAAAAAAAAAAATCAAGCAAGTCTATAAACCAAAAAAGATCTGTGTCAGAAGACATCTTGGAGTCAGACAGAATTTTCTATCTCAGCTTTATACAAGGCTGTTATAACCACATGTGATCAGAAATGATCACATGTCACAGACGGAAGCCTTACTCTGTAAGCAGGGCCTGCTTTCAGATGGGAAGTCACTCTAACCCGGTTGTACATTTGCATCCTGTTCTCAAGTTGGTCTGAATTGCTACTTAATACCGGTAGGGGATCCTGAACGGAGATTACTCCAACTCTCAGTACATGTCTCAAAGGAAAGCTCTTGGCAGAGCACTGAGAAAAAAATGATTCCTTCTATGAAATATCTGGCATTAGTAACACAAACAATAAAACCAGTGAGCATCACTTTTTGCTTAGCTGCCTTCACCTAAATTTGGGAAGGATATCAGTTAGATTTAAGCCTTGTGCATGTGAAACGCACATGATACTGTGGGCCGCTAGTGCGAACCAAGTCTTCCACGGGATGGAAAATGATGAAAATCCATGTGACAACACAAAACGAAAGCACACGATTTAGAAGTCTGAGGTACCGGCTTCTTTCTGTTTTTAAATTATACCAAGTTTTCTACACTTGGGTCCCTTCCTATCCTCCCCCCACCCCCAACAATCTGCACAGATTTCCAGAATGTAACATTAAAGTCCAGACTGAAGTTACGGACTTCAAAAACGCATGAGAACCTTGACCACCCAGTGCCATATCTGAGGGAAACCTGCTTTTGTGAAGTCACGGAATGACCATTCAAGTATTTAGTAGCTCAAAGAAGTGCTCTACAGTCTCTGCGATGAATGGTATGCAATTTACCAGGTCAGCCTTTAATAAACTGAAAAAATGAACAAACAAAAGAAGTAACTCTTCTGTTTTCGGACCATAATTACTATGCCAATTAATTTCTACAATATAAAGCTCTTAGTGAGTAGATTTGTTACTGGCTAAGTTACTGTTAAAGTCCAGTAGCTTGGAAAGAATAAACTATTGGGTCGTTGGAAAAGTCTTGATGTAATTCTCTAAGTACAAATGCATCAGGGCTTCTCTGATGACCCAATATATTGTAGGGTTTTTTTTTTCTCTACGAGAAGTCAGGTAGCAGTCCAGCTGGTCTCTCAGTTCCGTGTGGAACTAAAGGCTCCGCATGATCCCTGACAAAAGCAATGTGTACTGAAGCAAATCCCACTCTCGTGCCCCATGTGCTGTGTTTATAATGGATTTTCCCTGGAGCCAAATAACTGTGATTGCCAGAGAAACGCACACAACTGGGGCTGAGGGTCAGAAACCCAGGAGACAAAGCTCTGTGCGTCTACCTGCCTCTTACTGCACATCGCACACTTCCCTCCCACACACAGGAGTGGGCAGGTCGCTCCTGAGGTTTGGGGCGGGGGAATGTTTTCCCTTAGAATAAAGGTTTTAATGAATTTGACGTTTTGTTTCCTCAGCCCCCACTGCACAGCATCAAGTGCACAGACGATGCATTTTCGACAACTGTCTCCGGTCCTTACAACACTTTCTTAGGCCTGGCAAAGTAGTGGAGTAATTCTAAAGAATTACATAAGCCACAGATGACTTTTGCTGGAAAATTTGGACATGGCTATAACAACTATCACTTAAAAAAAATCAATTAAAAAATTACCCAACTCCCCCTCCTAGTGATAGTCATTATTAATATTTTAGAATATATCCTTCCACACTTTTCTCATTTATTTGTGAACTATTCCTCGATCTCCTGCAATGGTCGGACCATTAATGATAAACGAGACAGACAGGGCCCCTCCCCTCATGATTCTAATGTTTTCATGAGGAAAATAAACTACGAACGAGTAAACCAATAGTTTTAAATAGGGGGTATGAAGAAAATAAATAGAATGATGTGATATTAATTGATGGGGAGTGACAGAAGAACTTCACTGAGGAGGTGGCATTTGGGCCAAGACCTGACTAAGGAAGACTATTCCTGTGACATTCTAGGGGACGACCATTCGAGGCAGGTCTAGCTGCTTAAACACCCTTGGAGCAGACGGAGCCTCGTTGGTTGTAGGATCTTAAAGGAAGCCAGAGATGAAAAGGCCACAGGAGATCTGGACAGATAGCCGGGCAAGAACCAGATCATGCAAGATGCCCAGTTCATGAAGAGTCTTCTGGAGCACCAGAGCAGTGGAAAGTCAGCGGAGTGCTTCAGTCCAAGTAATGGTGGCACAGTCTGGTTTTCCTCTTTAAAAACTTCATTTTGGTTGCTATGTGAGGAAGAGACTATTGGACAGCAAGAATAGAATACAGAGATCATTCAGGGATGATTGCAATCTCACCCAAACACAGATAGATGGACTGTTTTCTGTTTTTCTTGGTTTATTTTATTTATTTATTTATTTATTTAGAGGTTTTTGCTATAGGGTGCGTGCGCTTGCCAGAAAGACAGAGAGAGACAGAGAGACAGAGAGACAGAAAGCCCCCAGGGGAGGTGGCCATGCCACAATCCCTTCTCCTCCATTCTTCTTTCAGGATCTTGGGCATGCATGTACACACGCCTGGCATGAGTTTAAGTCACCAGGTCCAAGACTTGAACCACAGTTGGCTACATGGGAGTCCAGCAACATAGCTATTATGCCAATTGCTAGTCCCTATTTTATTATTTATTTGTTTATTTAGAGACATTTTTGCTAATAGGATGTGTACAATTGCTGGAAGCAGAGAGAGAGAGAGAGACAGACAGATAGAGAGAGACAGAGGGAAAGTGAGAAACCACCCCCCAGGGGCAATGGCCATGACACAATCCCTTCTGTTCTCAAGATTTTGGGCATGAGTGTACATGTGCCCGGTGCTGAGTTTCAAGCTGTCAGGTCCGGGACTTGAACTGCAGTCAGCCACGTGGAAGTCCAGCACCTCAACCACTATGCCAGCTGCTGGCCCCATCTTGTTTTATTTTTGAAAAGAAAATGTGATCCTACTCTACACATATCTCCTTGATAACATTACTGCTATCTTTATCACTAATGTTTGCTTAATCTTCCATTTCAAGGAGGTACTACATTATTGGTATCTAATCTATCTTTTTAATAACTATTTATTGGGGGGTGGGGTCTTCTCTGGACCAGGGTCTGACAAAGGTGCTAGGTTCCTGTCAACTCTTTATGACCCTGAATAGCACTGAGATGGTTCCTTTGTGAATAGATTCCACATGGCGGATTTAATACCTGAGAAAAGCAGTTAGACACCTCATTACGTTGTATTTCAACTTGCTTATTTCAGAGAGGTCCCGTGAGTACTTTTGTATTTCCACTTTCAGTGGTATTCAGGAATAAAAAATCAACAACGAGAAAGCGTTGTCTCTAATTGTGAGCTCAGGGGAGAGGAGACAGAATTCAGATAGGAAGTGCTCAAGGGCGTGCCTGAACACGCAATTCAATGTTCTTTCTAGGTCCAAATCTCTTTCAGCCAACTTCCCTAAATGTCCCTCTCTGAATGAAACAGATTCCTAGGATGAGAAGCCTTTTTCTGACATCATAATTTCATCAGAAGGAACATTTGTTTATGTAAAACCTTAAAGGCAAAAAGCAATAAAGTAAATGTTTGAAACGAAAACACCCATTTACAAGTTTAACTACAAAGTATGATCCAGGGGCTCCCCACCATACATTTTATGTTTCTACCTCTCTTTCTTCTTTTTACCTCCCATCCACTCAGGGTGCTACGAGTCACTGCAGTTGCTGAATGATCCATGATCCCAGGTGTGAGTAAGGCAGCCCAGTTTGCGTGAGTTGTTGTTGTTTTTTTTTTCAATTTAA